GCGGGGGGCAGCGCGGGGCGGCAGCGCGGGCAGGCATAGGAGGCACCGACTGCTCACCGCTGACGATGCGTTCCTGGCCGGCGGCGATGCGCTGCTGCAGCTCCTGCAGCCGCTCCCGGTGCTCGGCCTCCTTGTTGACCTGGGGAGCAGGATGTGTGTGCGTGTGTGTGTGGAAGTTGCGGGGCAGTGCGCAAGGTGGTGAGCAGGGAGGCAGGGAGAGGGGCACTGCCACACAAGGAGAGAGGCGCTGCCACAGGATAGCAAGCGGCGCTGCACACAATACAGCACGGGCGGGCCGGCGGGCAGGGCAGCGAGCAGAGGGCAGGGCCGCACCCGGTCCAGCAAGTCTTTGCGGCGGTGCGCAGGTGGCCCCTCCGCGCTCAGCCGCTGCCGCTCCGCCTCCGCCTCCGCCACGCCGTGCCGCGCGTCGCCCAGCGCGCCGTCGATGGCCGCCACCTCGGCCGCCGCCAGCTGCTGCTCCTGCAGGTCCATCTGCGGCGGCGGCGGCGGCCGCGGGGCCGGGGCAGGCGTGGCGCGTGAGCGGAGGGGCCCACTGCATGCTGTGCCGTGGTGTGCTGTGCTGTGTGTGTACGGGTGTGTGGATGGGAGGGGTGGCGTGTGTGTCTGGTGTACGGGGGAGGGTGGCACAACCACAAACAGACAGCAAACGACGGCAGCCAGGAGGGCAAGGAGGGTGCCCGCTCACCTCCTCCGCCAGCTCCAGTACCGCCACCTCTCGGTCGATGAGCGCCTGTGCATACCTGCAGGGAAGCGGGGAGGCACAGGCGCAGGCACAGGCAGGCGGCGGGAGGGGTTGGCTGGCAGCGGCGGCGCCAGGCCAGTATGCCTGCGGCACGCCGGCAGCAGGCCCGCGGCACGCAGCGGACAGCCCTGCCTGCCCTTCCGGACACGCAACAACACAGCACACCGCCACACCACCACCTGCTCGCAGACACGTGCACACAAAGCATGTAAGGTTCAGTATATAGACATGACCCCCTCTTGCCTGATGCTGCTCTCATCTTTGAGCTGGTGGAAGCGCTGCAGCTTGCCCAGCGCGCGCTGGCTCCACTGCGCCCCGCCCGCGCCCGGCGCGGCGGCGCCCGGGCCGCCGCTGCCGCCCACCTCGTCAAAAAACTCGGTGGCCTGGTTGGATGAAAAAAGGAGGAGGGTGGGTGGGTGGAGGAGGTGGGTGGAGGAGGTTGGGGGCTTTGCAGCAAGGCTGAGATGGGGCTCCCGAGAGAGGAGGGCGCTGGTGGCAGGCGGGGTGGCGCCGGCGAGAAGGGCGGCGACTGTGGCCACGCCTCCACAGCCAACCAAGGCAGGCCCGCCACAAGCCCACCCAAGCAGCCCCGCCCGCCCACCGGCACAGGCACCGGCACAGGCACGGCCGCAGGCGCCGGCACGGCCGCAAGCGCAGGCCCCACCCGCCCGCCCACCTGCGCGCGCAGCGCCGCCGCCCCCGCCTCCTCAAAAGACCTCACCGCCGCCGCCTCCTCCCTCACGCCGTCGCGCAAGCTCTGCAGGTGGCGCCTGCGCGCGGTGGCCGCCGCCAGCTGGCGCCACACCTCCGCCAGCTCAGCAAGGCACTCCATGACCGCATTGTCGCACCCCTTGGCCCCCGCCGCCAGCCGCTGCCGCTCAAGGAACTCCTCTGCACTCGGCAGGGGGCAGGCAGGCAGGCAGGCAGGCAGGCAGTGAGGGAGGGAGGCAGGCAGTGAGGGAGGGAGGGATCAGAGGGTGGAGGGGCCAGGCGGGCAGCCATGCACGCCTCTTCCACCCGCCCCTGTCTCGCACAGCTGCCCCACAGCTGCCCCACGGCTGCCCCACGGCTGCCCCACCGGCACGGCCGACCCCAGCCCAGCGCCGCTGCAGCCACGTGCGCTGCGCGGGTGTGCCGCCTACCCTACACCCCCGGCGCCGCACCCGCCCACCCACCCGTGGGCGCGTGCGCCACGTTTCCGTACACCCACTGCAGCAGGTAGATTTCTGCGTTGCCATCAGCCGGGAAGTCGTGCCAGCTCTGCAGGAAGGGAGGCGGGCGGGCATGCGGGGGGGCAGGCAAGCACGCGCGGGGCGAGTGGGAGGTCGCGGGCGCATGGGGAGGAGACAGGACAGGCGGGCGGGGAGGCGGGCAGGCGGGGGTGGCGGCGGCAGTGAAGGCAGGGTGTAGCCATTCAGGGGCAGCAGGTGCAGGTTCGGCGCACCTTGTGTGACAGGTGGTCTAGCCACCAGGGGTGCGGCTCCAGCCACTCCTCCCCGCTCAGCACAGCCCCCTCCCCTGCGTCCCCCGCCAGCGACCCGGGCTGGCGCTGCAGGCGGGCCAGCTGCTGGCGCAGCTGCTGGGCGGCCGCCCCTGTGTCCCCGCCGCCGCCGCCGCCGTCGGCAGCAGCGCCGCCGTTGGCGCCACCGCCCTGCTCCAGCTGCAGCAGCTGCGTGCCAGACTTGGCCCGGCCCGCCGGCGTGAAGCCAAACACAGAGGCGCAGCCGGGGTCGTAGCCCGGCAGGAGCGCCTCGGCTGCCTGCAGCTCGCGGCGGCGGCGCCGCCGCAGGCGGCGGTCGCTGACGGGGCTGCCCAGGTCGGGAGTGGCCCCATACTCCCCGCCCTCCTCCTCCTCCTCCTCCTCATCCTCATCCTCGCTGCTGCCGCCGCTGCCGCTGTCATCCTCCTCGCTGCCGCTGCTCTCCCGGCTGCTGCTGGAGTAGGCAGGGCCCGCGCCAGCCGCGGCCGTGCTGCTGCTCAGCAGCTCTCCGCCTGCGGAGGCGCAGCAGGAGTGTTTGGGCGAGGAGGGCCGGGCAGTCGCAGACGGCGCCGCGCAGCAGCAGCAGCAGCCGAACTTTCCAAGCCGACCCTGCCCGCCAGTATGCAGGCAGACGGGCAGGCAGGCGAGCAGGCGAGCTGCCCTGAGGGGTAAAGCCCCAGCAGCGGCAGCAGGCAGGACTGCAACCGCAGCAGCAATGCCAAGGTGCGGAGATCAGGCAGGCGCACCCGCGGCGCCGGTGCGGGGCCCTAGGGCGGAGCCGTGCTTGGTGATGGCGTAGCCCAGCAGGCACTGCAGCTCCTGGGAGGAAAGCAAGCACAGCGCGCCCTGCAGGCAGGCCGGGGCGGTGGCAAAGGAGGTGGGGGGCCGCAGTGGAAGGGAAACGAGCGCTGGCAGGTACGCTCAGCTGCAGCAGCGGCGCGTGCCAGGGTGGCGGATGCCTGGGAGGCGGGATGCTCAGCGGTCGGTCAACGCAGGCACCAGGCGGCCCTGCTGCTGCTGCTGCCAGGAGCATTGCCAGGGAGCGGCGGCCCCGCCGCCACTTGCCTGCAGCTGGTCCGCTTGGTTGGGGGAGGCGTCTGGCGCCGCCAGCCGCACCGCCATCTCCAGCCGCCCCTGCTCGTCGAGCCGCCCCTCCTCGCCCGCGCCGGCAGGCGTGCTGCGGGGGCAAAGGCACGGCAGGCTGTGTGAGGTGTGGCTGCGTGTGTCTACCTCCCCGACAAGTGCGGACTCGGGTGTGCGTGCGACATGCATGCGGGACGCTCGTGCAAGGGCTGCGATGCGCGCCGCGGCCGGGAAGCGCGCGGTTCCTGCTGTTGAGTGGCAGGAGGAAGGCACACCTGAGCAGTCGCTGCGCCTGCGCCACCAGTGCCAGCAGCGTGTGCTCAAATGGCACGTGCGGCGCGCCCTGGCCGCCGCCGCCGCCGCCGCCGCCGCTCCCCGCGGCGCCGCCCGCCTGCGCCGCCGCCGGCGCCGCCGCGGCCAGGCCGTCCAGGCGCCGCGCCACCGCCGCCAGCAGACCTCCCGCGGCGTGGATCTGCAGCTCCATCTGCTGCTGCAGGTGCTGCTGCTGCCGCCGGCGGCGGTCGCCGGCGCCGCCGCCCCGCCGCCGTGCGTGCCTCCTGCCTGCCGCCGCGCCACCGCCGCCGTCCAGCTGCTGCTCCTCCTCCTCCTCCTCCTCGCTGCTGCCGGCATCCTCAAAGCCGCCGCTGGAGCCCCCAGAGGAGGGCTCGCTGCTGCCGCTGCGAGCGCTGCCGGTCCCGCTGGCGCTGCGCCGCCGCCCGGCCGCGCCCACTGGCGACCAGCGCGTGCCTTCGCCGCCCTCCGGCGCCGCCGCAGCCAGCAGGCGCTGCCCCGGCTGCGGCATGCGCAGTTGCATGGCGCTGCCGCAGTCGTCGCCGCCGCCGGCCTGGATGATCTGCTCCTCCCAGCAGCAGCTCATGCAGAGCACCACGGTTGGAAAGCCGGGCTCCTCATTCTGGTAGTGGGCGCCCACCACCTGCGGGGCAGGCAGGCAGGCCGGGGCCGGGGGGCAGGCAGGCAGCCGCCTGGTCAGCACACACACACCACACCACACCAAACCACACACACACACACACGCACACATCGCAGCCCAAGTCCCGCTGCTGCTGCTGCTCCAGGCCCAGGCTGCGGCGCACGCCCAGCCGCGGCAGGCGCGCGGCTGCGAGCGGCGGCTGCTGGCGTGGCGCCGCCTCCCCACCTCCTTGAGGCACTTGGTGCACTGTACCGCGCCGCCGTCCGGGCCGTACTGCACCTCCTCGTGGTACAGCTGCAGGTGCCGCACAAAGGCGGCCGCATCCAGCAGGCGGCTGTCGCAGCAGGGGCAGCGCCAGTAGGCGGCGCAGCGCCCGCCCTGGCGGCGCAGCAGCGCCAGAGCCTCCGCCAGCTCCCGCAGGCCCTCCTCTCCCTGCTCCGACCGCACCGCTGCAGGGCAGGGGGGGTGCCAAGGCACAGGAGCTGTGGAGGGGTGTGCTGGCAGGCTGGTGGGACTCGCCCGCTTGCCTTTGGTGCCGGCAGGCGACGGCGGCGCACACGGCCCCGCCTGCGGCCCAGGCATGCAGCCGGCGCGGCAGCCTCCGTGCTCCACAGCCGGCGCACGCGGGCAGGCAGGCATGGGCGGGCCCTGACCAGCCGCCGCACCTTCCGCCATCCTGGCCAGGTGG